CACCATCCGGATCCTTCGTTTTGCCTGTCAGGACGGATGGTGTAGTGGTGAAGTGCGCTGCTCCCCGGTAAGGACAACAGCGCGTGTTCGTTCTCCACTGCATACACCTGTGGTCCGGGGTTTTGCAGATATCTCAGCACTTCATACGAATAATAAACTGTGTTTCTGACAAATTTTAAAGGTTAGAATTTCGGATGCACAACCAGAAATCTCGACAAACCTCCTTCTACGGATTTTAACTGGGACGCATTGTGGCGCAAACGGCCCGAAACAATAGTGAAGTATGAGGCCAGAGAAGTGCTAACGAAAGCACAGCCAAGTATTGGTTTAAAAAATTTCGAATCGACTGACGAATTCGACCTTAAAAAAGGCGTAGGTAGCGAGACGTGCTTTCTCTATTGACGATGACGAATTGAATGCTTTGATGGAAGAAACTAAACGCACAACTGTTAGACAATTTGCAAAAGGATAATGTAAGTATTCTAACTGTTTTGGGGCATGAAAAAATTGGAAGACCGAAGGAGCTCAACAAATGGGAGCCGCACAAATTGAATGACAATCAAAGAAATCACAGGTTCAAGTTATCGTCTGTGGTTGTTCTGCGCATCTAAAACGTCTGATTTCCTTACTGCATTGCAAGGTGGGAAGGAGAAGCCGTTCTACTGCATCCGACGACGATCGGCTCATAGTACGAGCACATTGAAGCTCTGCAGCTTCTCCTAAAGCCGAAATTGCAAAATAAAGGTCATGGTGACCTTTTCGTGGTTTCGTTGCTGATTTGATCCGTAACATGCAGCTGCCTGAACTCGAATGAAGCGACCATTATTATTATCTATTGCATGACTCGAGAGTAGACCTCACATGTACCACACACACACACTATGCTGATTCCAGCACGTCTTGCTTTCAATCCGTTTTCTCCCATACGTCACCAATGAAGGTTTTCCAACATTTCGAATTGTCTTTTCAACCGCTCTTAAGAATTTTTTCGCATTCGTAACGAATATCGATATTGGTTGCTGATCGAACCCAATCTCCTCGGAGTCCTGAGATAGCCTTACGAGGAAATTCATTGGTGGACTAGAAGGCGTAATCTTTCCCAAACAAGCCAGTTATCAATTTTGTGACCACAGACGGACCAGAATCATCGTGACCTCGGTGGGCGTGCAAACCAGGTCTCTGGTGAAACGATTGCAGCGAAGAAATGCGTCTATTAAATCGACCGGCTGCATCAACAGATTCAGCGGTTGTATCTCGGGTTAGTGAACGGAAAGGTAACAATGCTGCGTGATAACGTCAAGAAATTAAAGATTCAAGTGAGTTTTCAACTAGTAAAGTGCAGTCTGAGCAAGACCATGACACTTTGAAGATACAGATTGAAGTTCATCATTAATTTCCGAAAAACCTAACTTAGTATATGGCACTAAAAAGTTGAGAGCTGGTTGAAATAAATGTAGTAGCGCTGTGAAAGCTGCGCTACATATCAGGAAGGCGTCGAAAGACAAC